TCACAGGGCATAATCTCACACACCAGACTATTCGGAGGTGCCAATCAGCCTACAATGCATGTCTTTGGACTGGGGGAGGAAACCAGAGCACCCAGAGGAAACCCCCGAAGCAGGGAGAACATGCACACAGGGTAGAGACGGGACTCAAACCCCCAACCCTAGAGGTGGGAGGCAGGCATGCTAACCACTAAGCCACTGCACCCCCTGGGAAGAAATCAAATTCTTTTAATAAGTCCAGTTATTATTTTTTTTAATTCCAAAAGACATTCTACAATTTTACCTTTTGAAGAATTCCTCAGAATTGTACTGTTATCAGTTTTTTCTCCAATCTGCCTAAGCCTCATCCTCAGTATTTCCCTTTCATTATTATACTTTCTACATACATTAATAACATAGCTTACAATTTCCTTCTCTCTGCATTTTTCACAATTACCAGTTTTTTTTTTAATTACATTTTTTTTTTATAAATAATGTATTGTTTAAACCTAGATGACCCAGCCTTATTCTACTCAAAATTTAAAAAAAATCTTCTGTCTTTTTTCCTACTCCATGCTTCACACTTCCCACCACTGGGTTTATTTCATAGAAATTGCACCCTCTGGTTTCTTTACTCCATTCCTCTTGCCATTTTCTTCTCACAAAAAAAGTCCCTTTGCTTCTGATTTGATCAATCCCACACCAATTTGCACATTATTAAAGTTCAGAGCCTCCTTTATCTGCAAGTTCATTACCCACCACCCCAACATGTCTCAGAATCCACACAAACCTTACCTGCATACCCACCTCTTTAATCCCATATAACACCATTAATGCTTCAAATAAAAGATCTGGTCTACGCTGAGATCTGCCTGATTGTAGATTCATCAGCACTGACTAGGAATCTGAGCGTAGGTTTTTCTTTTAATTTGACCTCCTCCACACATTCCAGAGCCATAACTATTGCTACCAGTTTAGCTGAGAATACTGACAGATTGTTAGTATACTGATACTGTCTGTTGGTCATCTTGCCTGCTTTGTACCTACATCTGGAACCACAAATGTACCGCAGCAGATACCTTTCCTGACATTAGATATTTAGAACCATCTATATAAATTTGTAGTTGTCTTGATATTTTGTTAATATAAGCTGTAGCTATTATTCCTCACACTTGTATAATAATGGTCACATAGCATTTTCTGTTTAAAATGCCCATTTCCATGGCAGCCTCCTCCACAGTCCAACCAAAACTATTGTATTACTTTTCCCCATGTTCCCAGCATGGTTCTGTGACATTTCCAGCTGGGTGATCCTTTTCATGACCCTGTAACCTGGCCCAACAGGCAGTCTTTAATTGCTATTTTTTTTAGGCATTTCACTCATTTTCACCTGTCGGAATTGGCGTGGTTATAAAAGCACCACAACAGAGTTGAAGTCCCTGTGCTTGGATGACATCCAACTTTTTTTTTTTTTTTACTTTTTTCAATGTTTTGGCAGCTGAGCCGTATGCTATGCAACTATAATCGAATACTGATCTAAATAATCCATTGCTTTTAATGCTTATCTATCTGCAATTTTAATATAGGCTCCTCTCCTATTTTCTTCCTTGAGAAGAATAAAACTTTTGTTTTCTCCACAGAAAACAAAACCCTATTTATTTATTTTTTTTGCACTTTGTCCACATCAGTAACAGCTACAATTCCTTCTAGAAATTGTTCCAGGACAGGGTAACCAGAGTGTCTCTCCATCCCACTCATCTTTTTAATGACTTCCCATATACTTTTTCAACTGGAGTACTTCTTCCTATTATGATGCTGTTGTTCCTCTTTCGGCTGCTCCCGTTAGGGGTTGCCACCGCAGATCATTGGTCCACGTATTTGATTTGGCACAGTTTTTATGCCAGATGCCCTTCCTGACACAACCCTCCCCAGTGTTATCCGGGCTTGGGATGGCAGTGAAAGCGCACTGTTGCACGCAGCCCCAGTGGCTGGGGTTGGTTCCCTGGCTGGGCTGGGAACCCAGGCTGCAGCGGTGAGAGCACTGAGGCCTAACCACTAGTTCTCCAGGGGCCCTACTTCTTACTATTATATTAAAATATATTTCCTCCAGTCATTACGTTTTGCTTCTTTTATCATTTTTATGCTTACTGAAATGATAAAACTTTATAAAAACTTGTTATAGGAAATGTTATTAGGAAAATATTCAACACTGGTGGTGTGATACCCTGGTGGATAGCCTGGTTTATACCATTATTTACACACTTACCTGTTTATATTATGTATATCTGGAAGATTTAAAAAGCTATGTTCACTAGATGGCACTTCAGCGCCAAAACATCCCTGACTGTCAGGTTTCCAAGTCAAACTGCAAAATGTTTAGCTCTGTCTCTCTAAAAATGTTTTGCCATCATCGGGATTATTGTCATGAGCTGTGTCTCAAATGGAAAACTCTCACCTTACATCCAGATGTATTTACCAATCCAGAAAATCCAGACGATTGGTGTGGTTTAGGGTACTTGAGAGGTTTTTAAAATTCAAACACAACACTAACTGTAATAGGAAAACCAATAAATTTCTAGAACAGTATATGCGATTTGAGACACAACACTCATTTGTTTAGCAGAGGTAGGTGGACAGCAATGTATTTTTATTGCTCAACTAAGCTAGTGCGGCATGTCAGGATAATGAAAAGACTAAAATAACATGCACCCTATTCATTTAAATCTAGCTTGTCTGACTGTTATTTCAAAATATTAGCACACAAAATCCCTCTTCGATATTTCTAATATTAATTTGTACAATAATTTACAGCTTAGTTTGGGAACCTCTGGTCTAAGTGTGGTTATGTTTCACAAACTTTCTCGGCCTAATGTTAGTTATTTACCTGATGGATCCAAAATGGTTACCTAGCTAGATCTGACTGCTGTGTTTAATGATCAGTATTAGCTCTTTGGTGGTCTATGTCCCCAACAAACACAGAACGTTCCCCTAACATTAGCAATGTACACATAATGCCACTGATGACCTCCTGAGGGGGTTTTAAAAAATGGACATCCAGAACTACCTTCAACAGCAAGAACCTTGCTGCATACTGCAAGAGATATCAAAACAGTGACAAAGTCAGGGATGGACTCAAAACAACTGAGTAAAACCAGACCTCAGATCTAACTCTAATTCTTTAACCTAAATTCATATACAATGTACAGGTTACAATTCAAACAGAGATCATTTCGATTTGAACAGAGATTATTTCATTCTATTTCTAGGAGCAACACAAAAGAACTTCAAGACACTAAAGGAGACTGAGGTGGAAGATCTCATTGCACTGGCCCTGAAATTTGCCCCACACAGGAATTTAAAATGGTGGCCACACTGTATTAGAATATATTTTGAGATGAGTATCAGCTATGAGTACCTGATGCAAAAGCATTCTTATCTTATTTTTCTGTAAGAGCTAACAAAGGTTTGACTTCAGGAAACTACGTATATATCCTACAAACACGAAACATTCGTCCCTTAATGGCCTTAAGCTCTCCTTTATACTCTCTTCCACAGCGACATCTAGCGGTGAATACAAGCAGACACAAGAAAGATCAATAAATCTCTTTTAAAAACTGCATTATTACGGTATTAAACTATTACTAAACGGTGGTATTTTAACAAATAAGTATTATTATTATTATTATTATTATTATTATTATTATTGTTGTTGTTGTTGTTGTTGTTGTTAAAGATAATAATGATGATGATTATTATGATGTTAATAATAATAATAATAATAATAATAACAACCACAAATTAACATCTTCACATAATCAGTGTCATCAATAGGCATTTCATTTCATTGGCTTTTGTAATCGCATGTAATTCTGATGTTCAGAATGATTTTTGACTTACTTTTGTAAGTCGCTCTGGATAAGGGCGTCTGCCAAATGTAAATGCAAATGTTGATGCTTTACAGCCACACATAATTCCCAAACCAGCTGAACAGGTAAACTAAATGAGTTGTTGATTTACATCTAAAAGCAGTTTAAATAGTACACTAAAGAATAATAGTTAAATGAATTTAAATAAATAAAAACATTGCTTTTTGAATTCACTGGTTAAATTAAATTGGCTACATTACTAAACTGAAGGAAGATCACTCTGTTTTGGTGATTAAGCCAAATTGTCCATTTTCCATTTTGGACATCATCATTACCTGCCACAACAGTCTTGTGTTTTGAAACAGTTATGGGGGAAAAGGAAGCACAGAGCACAGCCCTGCACACGTGTGGAAGAACGACAAGAGTTTTGAATATTTACCACTTGCTTGTGCAAAAACTGTGTAAAAAATGTAAGATTTCGGTGGCATAATTGCACTCTTAATTAGTGCACTAAAATGAGTGTACTAAAATTAACATACTTAGTTTTAGTACACTGCTTTTATTAAATAATCTCAACCTGTTTTGTATATATTCTTAAACTAAGTAATTTATAATACTGATATAGTCAGTATCAAAATCACTTAATATGGCGACGCTGTGCTTAGTCAGTGTATTTCAGTATAAATATATAAGCATCTTTAAAAATGAATAAATTAACCTGAGAATCAAACTGCATTTGGTTTTAGTCTATGTTATTTTTCATTGTGAATATTTATGGCAAAATGCACAAAACAAGGCTTGATGTCCAGTGCTGATTTATAGCCATGCGCAAACCTGGTGATATTAAAGGCCTACAGGGTAGAGGTTTATTTATTTCATTCTCTATTTCTAACTGTTTAATATAATGTAACTTCCGTTGCCCTTTTCATTTCTTTGTTAAATTTGCAGAAGGCGGTGGTGATCAGAAGTTGAAAAATGTATCAGTTTTCTACAGTTACTATTTATTTTTTAACGATAGTGTTCTTTTATCTATGTAAATGTTTTCATGTTTATTTTTTTATTAAATGATAATGATTGTTTTGAATGTCCCGAGATTCGTGCTAATGTTATTTGATGTAAACTTTAAAAAATGGATCAACAAAACTAAAGCAGGGACGGGGCAGTGGTAGCTCAGTGGTTAAGACGTTGGCTTCCTGCCCATAAGGTCATGAGTTCAAATCCCAGCACCACCAAGCTGCCACTGCTGGGCTCTTGAGCAGGGCCCTTAATGCTCAACTGTGTAGAGAAAAAAAATAATAATAAAATAATGAGATAAATGTGAGTCGCGCTGGATGAGGGCGTCTACCAAATGCCGTAAATGGATCGTGCGCTGATTGTCTATTCATATAGACTGATTGGTTTATTTATGATGATGTAGGAATATGTAAAATAAATGAGGTGAAGGGAATGTTAGGGAAATGTTAAGAGAACGTTCTGCAAACCTAAAAACAAACCTTAAAAATACACGTTCTGGGAACCAAAAATTGTTAGCTGGGTCATCATTTACTACTTAATATAGTGATCTACTACTTAGAACAAGGGCATGCGGTTTGGATCATGATATATGATATGGTATATGGATATATTTTATTGTATTAGACTATTAAATATTAATAATAACATATAATAATTATTATATAAATACATTTTCTTCGACGATGGTGAGTGGAAAATCAGTTATGGTGCAATACCGCCACCAACTGGGCTGTGTTAGAGAGAACAGATCCATAAAGGGGTTTTATTTTATTATTATTATTATTATTTTTTATTTTTTTAAATAAGAGCTACAAGCCCATCCACAGTTTTGTTATAAAGATAGGTTAGAAATAGCAGTCATACTGCTGAGCCGTTTCCAGGTTCTTTTTCTGGGCACGAGAAGCTTCTCTCTCAGTGTTGACAGCCTGCATGGGCTCAGCGGTCCTGCACACGTCTGCAGCACTGTACTGTTCTGTTCAAACTACCTAAATGTAGATAGTAGAATGATGTACAGTGCGACGGACAGCTCATGCTCAGTAATACGGCTCTATCATATTTATGTTAAAAACTGAAATTCAGTCAGAAATATCAGGTACCGGTTGGGTTTCCATAGAAACGAAATTCAAACGGGCAAACCGTAGATTACACAAAAGATGTACAAGAGATTCTCAAATAACGGCTTTAGTCCGAGAGATACTGTAAACTATTCTGAACAAATGAAAATGAAACGAGGTTAGCCAATAGTTTCCTGAATAAAAGAAATGATATTCTGTAGACTAAAAGGAAAATGAATAGCAGCTGCCTCTCCGGAAGCTTGTTTCCAAACAGTCCACAGATAACCGTCATTTGCTGGACAAACACAAAGACATAGCCGCTGCTCATTTTCTAGGCTAAGGTTAGCTAGGCTAGTCTCTTGGTTGACAGCAGAAAGATGTTAATTGTCTTTATAAAATACTTTTGCTCCAAATGTTAAGAGAATTTAAGGCGTCTGGCCTGTTAGCAGCACTGTTTTTTAAGCATTTATATATAAATATAAATATATATCGCGTGTATTTGCGATAGAATTATACTATTGTGTTCACGCTGCATGTTTCATAATGCCAAAAAATGTCTCCCAGAAATACTATTTTCTTCTTAGTGTTTCGTATTCTTTGTCATCTATGATGATTACATTCAGTAGCCTACATTAGTCATTAAATATTTGAATCTCGTTTCAAAAACCAGCTGGAAATTAGCATGTTATCATATAGCAACACATTCTTAGCAGGGGTGGATTTAGTGATTTGGGGCCCTAGGAAAAATATAGGAACGGGGCCCTGATATGAGTGTTTTAACATCAATATTTTAAATTTCAGCATACCTTATTTAGCATTAATAATTAAAAATATATATATTTTTAATTTTTAGGGGGTCCTTGGTTTCTGGGGGCCCAAGGCGATTGCCTATCTTTGCCTAGTGCTAAGTTCGCCCCTGATTCTGAGCATCACTCTTTAGCTGAGAAATAGACAGCCTGTTTGAAGGTTTTTTTTTTTTAAATGTAGTAGAATTTATTAAGCAAGTATAAACAGAGGGTTCCTGAAATAGCTTTTAGACCCAGCCATCCTGCAATTGCATCCTTCAGAATCAATATACTTTATAAGAGGGACTTCTTCGTTGGCAAGTCAGCCTAAGTGTTTTAAAACAAATATTCAGAAAGCTTAAAATGTTTTTAAAGAATATAAATTTAATTGTCAGAAAAGTATTAACCAAATTAGCCCAAATCATTATATATATATATAAATTAAAAGCTAGCAAAACACATGAGGTAGACATTTGAGTGTGTTTTTGCTATATGTGATTGAACTTCATGGTGCTAACCTGGATAAGACAGTTGAAATCTATTTGTGTGAATCGTCTGACCTTTGAGACAAGGCTGAAGATTATGTCTACTGGAACAGAACAAAATAATTGCCAAAATAGTAAAAAAAAAAAAAAAAAAAAAAAAAAAAATTCGATCAGAAATGTGTCATGCATGTGGAAAGTTGTAATACAGATGGAAAAACATCCAACGAAGGCATATATGTGCTAAAATTATGTTCCATCTTTGTGCAAATACACAAGTTCCCTCATGCCTTTAAATGGCCTGACAACGACAAACAAAACTTTAAAAAAAAAAATAAAAATAAAAAAAATAAACTAAAATGACTTTTGTAAGATAATATTTGTTCTAGATTTTGTTTCTAAATGTATCTGGTTACTTAAGTGTTATAATAATAATAGCATGGTTGTTGGTAGTCATATATTCAAAAGAAATTACTTTAAAAAAAAATAGTATCAACATGAGGTTAAACAACAGGATTGTTAATGGTACAGTTTAATAATGCTAATGTGATTCTGTAATTGTCATTTTTCTCTAACATGCATCACTAGATTACTCTTCTAATGAATGTAGCCAAAATAAACATCTGACAATCTTGTGTGTTCCCTGAGATTTTCAGGTTCATGGTTAAGTGACAAATAGCTTACTGCTAGCTTAATCTGTAATTAAAAAAAAAAAAAAACAGCACATTGCTCAGAAAAAATATCAAAAACAACAGCAACAGTAAAATGACCATAACAAGGCAAATATAAGCTCCATGATTAGTGCAGACTTGCACTGATATCAACATATATAATGTCCCAACACTCATCTACCAAGTCTAACAAAATTGTGCATAGTAGAATTATCATAGTCTGTAAATTAAACAACAAAACATTAACATTTCATAAATAATGGGAGAAGAGGATGGATGTGTATAATAAAATCAATGCAAAGGGAAAGGTATTTGAGGAGAAGCCATAGTAATAAATATTAAGAGTGATTTTAACTAGGCTCCTTATAAGTAAACTTATATGGTATATATTAAATGTATAAGAATGTCTGCTAGCTTCTTTTTTAAAAGATTATTAAGGCTAGATCTGCATGCACCTCTTATTCCTAAAGAAGTCTGGCAACTGAGGAAAGGAGGCAATGTCTTGTTGAATTAGACATGGACTTCATCAAAAGAATAAACTCTTTGAAAACAAATTGTCAAAAGAAAAAGGCAAACATTGGCAGCACAGAGAGTAGCAGATAAGTAGCAGTTGATGTAAACTCACATTTTGAATTCAGACTAATTTCTGCAATTTAAAAACAATGAATGACATTAATTTCTAAGGTTATGTCATTCTTTCAAAATAATCACAATCTATAACTTAACAGGGATAAAACAAACAAGAATCACTGGCAAGCCATGCCAACGTAACATTAATTTGGCCCCAGGTGGTGAGGTCTGTCGATTGTAAACCCATGCCATCTCTGTTCCAAACCCTAACCCTCACCCTAAATATCCCTGAAATACACATTCTTTACAGAGTAGTGTCTCCACAGCCTCTGCTCTTTGTCGGACAATCAAAATGTCAAAATTCTCTATTACATTATCAAAGCATGTAGAAAACTACAATCACAAGTCAGATACAGTGAAGTCACTTCTGTTATTAGGATACAATAAATGCACTGTGAAAATTCCTGAGTATGAAGCAATTCTATACCTGAGTGTTACACCAAAGACAAAACGGTACATTCTTCTTTTATATACCTGAGGTAGTTCCAAAAGCAGCATTAGTAGGAACCCATGTTCATCTTTTCAATGTAGTGGTTTGATTTGCTTGTGAGCTCCATCCCAACCTCCTCTGTGCACTCTTGCCTCAGTTGGTGATCTCTGCCGGTGGAGGGGAATAATTCTGCACTTCTTCCTCGCCCTTCAAAGAGAAAGGTGATTCCTGAGAGCCTGGTGAGGACTGCTGGGCTTTGACTGGGCAGTTGGCAACCATGTGCGAGACACTCTGGCAGAAATGGCACTTTTTTGGCTGAGGAGGCAGCTTGCACTCTTTAGCGTGGTGGTCTAAACCTCCGCAGTTGTAGCACCTGAGAAACAGAGATTAAATAATTCCTAAAAGGCAACATGACATTGGAAGGCTGAGACACTAATCGCTAACTATATTTCTATCCAAATAAAGAAATAGAAATACTGCATAATGTAATTTCACAAAAGGGTAATATTGAACCTACAAGCCAGTAGGTGAGACACACAGCTATCCAATATCAGTGTGGCCTAATAAATCTCATACATCCTTTGTATTGAGCATTCTTTCATTTATTCTTTCATCTCCTGTAACTGGTCAATTCTGATTCTCTGAATCCAGAGCCTATCCCAGGAACACTGGGCACAAGGAAGGTATACACCCTGGATGGGACACCAGTCAGTTGTAGGGCATTACACACACACTCAGGGGCAATATACCGTCACAAAACCACCTACTTGCATGTTTTTGAGAGATGTGAAGAAACCAGAGAACCTACAGGAAACCCGTGCAGACACACAGGAGAACATTCAGAAAACTGAAATTCAGCTTAAGGCACTTACATGTAATCCATGATATTTGACTGCTATACACCGATCAGCCATAACATTAAAACCACGGACAGGTGACATGAATAACATTGATTATCTCATTACAATGGCACCTATTGAGGGATGGGATATATTATATTAACAGTCAGTTCTCAAAGTTGATGTGTTGGAAGCAGGAAAAACGGGCAAGTGTAAGGATCTGAGCAACTTTGACAAGGGCCAAATTGTGATGGCTGGACGGCTGGGTCAGAGCATCTCCAAAACGGCAGGTCTTGTGGGGTGTTCCTGGTATGCAGTGGTTAGTG